CTTTCCCTTGGCATGATCAGTTTCCTTTCCTAATGCAGGCAGGCCGGGTATGGGTGGTCTTGAGGGGATCATGGGAGGACTCCTGGCCCCATGGCAGCATGGGAAAAACCATCCTATGCTAGCAGGTGCCAAAGAGATGTGAGGGAGAGCAGCTTGGCACACTCTCTTAGGGCAGGCTCCCCCACACCTGCATGTGTCTCCTGAAGTAGCTGGGGACATGGCATGCACTGCTCTTGGCTGGGGAGCAGGCGCCAAGCTGGAGAGCAAGCTTCCATGGCACCATACTGGAATAGCTTGGTTCTAGATTGATGTTCCCCTCCCATGTTTCCCCAGGGAGAAGTGGACAAGTGGAAAGTTGGAACCTCACGGGCCCTGGAGGAGGTTGGCACGGAGGTCTCTACTGGAGTAAGTATGCAGTGGTTCAGGCCTTTACACACAGGCCTCAGGAGCTGACAGGGTCCCTCTAGCAGTGCTTACCTGACCAGCTTGTTTCTCTGGTACACATCCAGCATGCCCAGCCTCACAGTATCTTATCCTCTACACTGCCTCCAAACCAAGAGAGTGAGCTAGCCTATGTGGCTCCATGTCTCTGACCTTACTAAGGGGAGGAGAAAATACTGCCAGCTTGGATGGGTTCTGAGAACAAGAAACAGGTGTGAAGCTGGAACAGGTGGGAGTGGGAGATGAGTATTAGGATGGCTCGTGACACAAGCCCAGGTATAGGGGATGGGGTTCCAGTCCTGGCTCTCCCTTGACTCTCTCACTGACATTAGGAGAGTTATTTAGGGTGAGTTTGTCTGAGGTCTCAGCTACGTGGTGGGATGTGAAGGGTACATGCACTAATGTTCAGGAGCTTCAGATCCTGTGGTGATGGGGCCATGTAAGCTCATATGTAGGCGCATGTAAGACGTGGGTTCAGGTGTTGGGGGAAGCAAGCATATCTTTGCCTTTGCTAGGTCATGGTCTTGGTGCTAACAGAGACTGCCTGTGACCTCCACAGTGCCCTGTGTCATGTCCCAGTGACTCCTACTGCTGCAGTGAGTGACATTCTTTTTGCTGTCAGCAGGAGCTAGAAGCAGAAGTGTCCTCCCCTTGGCCAGGCCCAACAGAGACCTCTGCAAGGGAGAGCAATGTGGACAGACTAGCCCAGCTGGGCAACACCAGCAAGTCTGAACTTCCGAGCACCGTGTCACCCAGGTAAAGCAGGTCTGCTGTAGTCCTTCCCTGCCTGCTGAGATGGCTGCATGGAGCCTGGGCCTGTATGGGAGAGTTGGTGAAGGTCATCAGTTTGTTTCCTTGGCAACCAGAGCACTGAAGGCAGAGCCACAACTGGGACCAGGGGGACATACAGGGCTACAACCAAGTTGGAAAGGTGCTTCTGGCAACTCTGCACCCTCACCTGCCTCTGTTCCTCCTGAGCTGGGGACAGGGCCAGTGTCAGGCAACACAGGCTAGCAATATCCAGCTGTCCTCAGCTAATAGGCAGTGGTGGTTCTTTGTCAAGAAACAGCCTCCTAACTCCTTGTCCCTTTTGAGGAGGTGCTGGGGTTTGCAAGGAGCCTTTATGATATACTTCCTCCCCTAGCAAAGCTTTAATCTCAGGGAATAATGTGTGTCCCTTGCCTGCCCCTGGGTGCAGCCAGCCCAGTCCTGGGGGTCTTGCTCACATCCTGTCTGGGGAAATGGCACCTGCAACTGGGAGTTCCTGTGTGCCCACTCAAGATGGTTCTGGGTAATATGTGCTGCCCCAGTCTGCAGTCTTGGCATGGGTGCAGGAAAGAGGGCAACTACCACAGCAGAACCTTTTGTGGTTTCTTGCTTCACAGCAAGGCTGAGAGCAAGCAGCTGTGGCGGCCCCGCAGCACCTCCATGAAAGACCAGCAGAACTCGAAGGCCCAGAGTGACCGTGCCAGCAGCCTAGACAGCGAGAGCTCCCCGGACTCCCGGCTCAACACTCAGGTTAAGCTGCAGTAGGACATAGGAGGAACTGCCCAGCAGGAGAGGGACTTTCTCCTCCTGGGAGGTGCCTTTCCTCAGGGCAGAGGAGCATGGTAGGGGGTGGTGTGGCAAGAGGTGAAAAGAGAGGCCACAGTGTATGAGAGAGCTTGGCCTTGCTTGGGAGAATGAGGGGAGCTATGTAGAGCTTAACCCTGCCTCATTGCACTGCTGCAGGCGCCCCGGAAGTCAGTTTATGATCAGCTGAACCAGATCTTGGTCTCAGATGAGCAGCTTCCCGAGAGCATCATCCTGGTGAATGCTGCTGAATGGCAAGGACAGGTGAGGACAAGGGAAGCCTGTGAAATGGGTTGTGTGTGTCAGGTGCAAGAGGAGACATGTCTGGTCCCAGTGATGTAGAAAGGGTGGAAGTGGGCAGTCTGTATATTCTTGCTGTTTGTCTTGGGATGCAAAATGTTGTTACTGTATCAGGGGCTTCCCCATCCATTAGAAGCATCTACTCAGCAGAAGCTTTAAATCAGCCATTCTGGATAACTTGCAGTCTACAAGAGCTGGCTGAGAGGATCATCTGCTTATGATGATGTACATTTTTAGCAAATCCTAGAACATGGGGGAAGTCCCAGGAGACTTGAACAGTGCTGGCATGGTACCACCATTCCCAAAGGGAAGTGAGGTGCCCAGGGGAGCTACAGGTCACATGGCCTGGCATCAGCCATGGGCAGAGTAACTGTAAAGCTGGTTGGAAATTCAACTGATCAGGAATTCAAGGATGGGAAAATGATTTCTCTCAGTCACTGGGTTTTACTGACTGCAGGGATAAAATATTTTTAGACTTTTGTAAGGCATTTGACTCAGTACCGCATACTATTTTGATTAAAATATTACAACCTTTAACCATACAGAACAGCATCCAGAAACCTTTTAAAATGCTGGCTGGAACAACCTGGGTCTGGTCCTATACAAGCCAGGTGGCTTCTGTGGCATGACAGCAGCATAGGGCTTTCCCTGTGCCCACCCTGTTGTTTTCTGCCCACTTGTCCAACCTGTCCAGGTCTGCTTGCAGCTGTTCCCTGCCCTCCGGCGTGTCCACTTCTCCCCATAGCTTTGTGTCATCCGCAAACTTGAACAGAGTACACTTCACTCCCTCGTCCAAGTCGCTGATGAAGACATTAAAGAGTATCGGTCCAAGGACCGAGCCCTGCGGGACCCCACTGCCCACACCCTTCCAGGTCGAAACCGACCCATCCACCACGACTCTCTGGGTGCGACCCTCTAGCTAA